GCGTATGGTATACACGAGTATGCTCTTATAACTTCTGAGATCGACGCACTCATACGGACGGACGGACGGACGGACAGACGGATAGGGCTATATCGACTCAGCTCGTCACGCTGATCAAGAATATATATACTTTGTGGGGTCTGCCATGCCTCCTTCTGCCCGTTACATACTTTTTCACAAAACCATTATACCCTGATTTCCCATTTTCAATGGGTTCAGGGTATAACAATTTGTGTAGCAATCGGCCTTAAAAAGTAGCCATATCTAGCTACAAAATAGCTGATTCGGCATAAAAATTCCCATTCAGTATGGCTAAAATTTCAATTTCGATGTATTTAAAAGTATAAATGAAATACAAAACTCATTTAATAAAATATTTAAATATTTTGAAACAATTACAAAAATTAACATCAGTTGCATCGGTCGGGACTTCTCGACCGAGCGTCACGCAGCTAGTCACTACGCCACCTCACTTCCAGAAGCCGCTTTGGCAAAACTGAAATAGCTTCACTGTTGCAGCGCCATCCAGCAAAACTAAACCAAACTAACTGCTGATGTGATTCTAAGAATCTGCTAGAATAACCAAGCTATTAAAAACGCACATTTAGTATGGTTAAATTTTCAATTTCGGTGTACTTAAAAATATAAATTAAATAGAAAACTCATTTATCAAAATATAAAAATATTTTGAAACGATTAAAAAAATTAACATAAGTTGCATCGATCGGGATTCGAACCGCGACTTTTCGATCGAGCGTCATGCCGCTATTCACTACGCCACCTTACTTTTGGAAGCTGCGCTGGCAAAACACTGCTGCAGCGTTATCTACCAAAACTAAACGAAACTAACAGCTAATGTGAATGTTCTAGAAGAAGCTTGAATGTATGTGTACACACGTATACAATACTGCTGTAGCTGCTGCACGTGCGTTTGTTCATTGGCCAAATATTTGATTATTTTTTATTAATTTTTGACTGAACGGAATTTAATGAAACTTTCAGCATATGATCTACATATTATATTGAATATTTGAGAAATTTAAAAAAATGAAAAATCATTCACAATTAGCTGTAGTGACATCTGACTTGAACTGGAATGTTTTTATTCGATAAAAACATAACGGGATGATTTATCAAATTTTAAAAGCAAACTCGACATCAGCGCTGTATATACGGTCATTTAAAAAAAATTCAAGTCTCTAGTTCTTATATCTTCTGAAATTGACGCATTCAAACATACGGACAGACGGACAGGGCCAAATCAACTCAGCTGTTGCACTGTTCAAGAATATATATACTTTGTGGAGTCTGCCACGCCTCCTTCTGCCTGTTACATACATTTAAACAAAACCATTATACCCTGATTTCCCATTCAAAATGGGTTCAGGGTATAACAAGTTACAAAGCTCTAGTCGAGACTGACCGACTACGGGATCCCCTGAACCCTTCGCACATACACACACACGTACATACCAACGCACGCATAAACACGCATTGGCTGCAGTGGTGGTTTACTATGGAAAGTTAATAGTTTAATAACTGTTCTTTTGGATGGACTATCTTCATAAGACTTTCCGATTATGAATATAACATAGATATACATGTATTTGCCAAAGCACAAGTCCCTAGTATTTGAAATACGTTTTTTACAAATGTGATGATGAGGGGGTGAACTAAGGGTGGGGGGTAAATTTTAACAAAAACCGAAATTGTATAAAATGCATTTAGAAAGATAATAAAGATGAAATAAAGATGTAGGAGATATAATTGTATATCAGATTTTCGATAAGGTTTTTATCGATAAAAAAATAACGGCATGAATGATCGATTTTCGGTAATAAACTCGATATCCGCGCTATATTACGACAAAAAGAATTTGAAGTCTCTAGCTCTTATAACTTCTGAAATCGACGCGTTCATACATACGGACGGACAGACAGACGGACAGAGCCAAATCGACTCAGCTCGTCGCCCTGATCAAGAATATATATACTTTATGGGATCTGCCAAGCCTCCTTCTATCTGTTACATACTTTTAACAAAACCATTATACCATGATTTCCCATTTTCAATGGGTTCAGTGAATAAAGAATGCCAAATCATTCACGATTAGCCACACTGGCATCTGACTTGATTTTAAATGTCTTTTGCCGTTAAAAACATAACAGGATGATTTATCGTTTTTAGACTCATTCACGAAAGTGAAATGAGTATATTGGTTTTGTGCAATGTCCGTCTTGCTGTCCGTCCGTCTGTCCGTCCGTCCGTCTGTCCGTCTATCCGTATGAACGCAATCTATTTCGGCGCTATTGAAGCTAGAGACTTGAAATTTGGAACACATACTCGTGTATATCTCCGATTTATAAAGTGTTAAAATTTTCCGATCCGCCCACTAGGGGCGTGGCAAATCGGAAAATGCATTTTCCGATATACCAGAAATCGTGTTTGTTGAAGAGCTAGAAAGCTGAAATTTAGTATGTAGGTCCGCGCCGACCACCTAAGATCACAAGCTATGGCGGATATATCTCCGCCCATTAGGGGCGTGGCAAATCGGATAAAACTGTATCTCCTAAAGTTATAAACTTAGAATGCTGAAATTTTGCATGTAAGCTGATGTTTTAATTCTATGAAGATAGGTGAAAAAATTATATATATACGCCCACTAGGGGCGTGGCAAATCGGACCTGAACATATAGTGATTTTTCGAATTCTGTTATATTTTAGGCACTATTGATGCTAGAGACCTGAAATTTTGTATATATACGCGGGTTGACCACCCACGTCCAACGAGCTATGGTAGATATATGTCCGCCCATAGGGGGCGTGGCAAACCGCAAAAGCTTATATATCCTACAGTTTAAGAGCTAGAAGCTTCAAATTTAGATAGTTAAGTTACTGGTAGCCTCCTCTATCGATGCCCCAAAAATAATTTTTAAGTCTCTTTAGGGGCGTGGCATATCGAAAAATACCCTGTAATTTTCACATTTTTTGAGCGTAAGAATTCTATTTTTGCATTTAGGTAACCGGTTGCTCGTTCTAAGAACTGGATAAAATTGAGGAATCTACGGCCACTAGGCTTAATAGGCATTGATAGCGCGGAAGGAAACATTTTTATAAAATTAATAAAATATAAAAAAGCTAAAATAACAAAAATTTGCCATTTACAAAAAAGTGTTTTCCGCGGGATTTGAACTCGCACCCAACCCAAACAGCATGTTTGTCAAAATAGCTAAAAAAAAAAATGGTCCTACAGCACCACCGCGTCGTTTCTATCAACAATAGTTAAAACGAAATCACATTATTGTTATGACGCCACATAGCAAAGAAAAGCCAGTGTAGCGGCTGGAAATTCAAAAACAATGCAAAGACAAATCAATCGCAGCGAGATTCTTAGAATATGCTAGAGTACGCAATTATGTGTACATACATACACACATACAAATGAGCGCGTGTATACGGCTGGAATGCTTGATGCTATGCGTGCAGACTTACATATATACATATGTATGTATTTGCGTATATGTATTTGAGGGCTATTTAAGAAGAAACAAATTTAAACTTATAAAATTATTCGACTAAGAAAATGAAAAGTATTAAGTGCCATTCAGTCAAGCTCGCACCTTCCCAATAAAATATCTATTTTATAAAAAACGAAATATGTATGAAAAAAAAAAAAAAATAACATATTAAAGGTTCGAACCTCCTCTGCTCTAACATTACTTGCGTCGCCCTTAGCACCCGCGCCACTGCTTTGCTCGAGCAGTCAGTTGCTAAAATAGAATAGCTTAATAAGAGAGCGTCATCAGACAAAACTACAGTAACGGCTAGAAAGTCCAGAAATCAATCGAAATTCTAAGAATGTGAGAAAAGGCGCGCTTCTGTCTGTACGCATAGAATAGACGATGAGTGTGTGCACAAGCATAGGAAAATCGCGCTGATCTGCTGTTAGCTTGAAGCCGGTATCCAATGTATGGATATAAATATATAATAAAAATCAAAATTGTATAAATTATATATGTATGTAATTTGAATGCAATAGCTATCGATGATTTTCCAATTTTAATGGCATCATGCCGTGTTTTTTGCTGGGCACTAGACTTGAAAATTTCACTATATACTCTGGTTGACAGCGTTTGGGCTGTGAATGAGTCTTCTGCAATCGGTATCGCCCGACTGCAACGTTCTTACTTGTTTAAAGGTAAACTTGACATCCATGCCATATATACGGACATTTTGAAAAATTTTTTAAATTCAAGACTGTTGAGGATTGATCTCGAAAAACTCATCATCAAGTGGGCATTTGAGCTAACGGTAAACACAGTCGTCGGCTGATCGCACATTTGTCTCTAGAATAAGAAACCGAATGTTCTGGATTATGAAATAGACGCAAACATAGAAGCATAAGGAGACATCCAGAACATTCGATATGCAGTAGAAGTAGGTATATACCTTATATAAGCGTGCTGTAAGTCGAGCCAAAGTTCATTCAGTAAGTTCATTGTGTAAGATCAATGTCAGTGTGTCGGCTCGGTTAGTTAAGTTCAAATCGTCGCGGTACGTGAAGAAGTGTACTTGTTACTGAATATTGTGTTAAATAAACTTTTTGCGTTGCGCCTACATATACCGTGTTTCATTTAAGAAAAACCTTCAACAAAGATCGAAGCGTTCAAACGGCCAGACGGACAAAGCCAAATCGACTTAGTTCGTCGCCCTGATCAGGAATATATATACTTTGTGGGGTTTGCCACGCCTCTTTCTGCCTTTTACATACATTTCAACAAAACCATTATACCCTGATTTCCCATTGTATAATAAGATTCAGTTCCAAAGGTGACTAGTAGCGAATTTAAAGGCAAATGAATGCAAAAACCAATTTTTTCTTTTTTATGTCCTCTCAAAGTTGCTGCTGTACGAAGACATTATGGTACACTTAGTATGGAAGAATGTTCTTTTTTCAACAGATTATAGTAGTACATAAATACACGGTCAGTGAAACTTACCGTACGGTTTCCCAAATTTTTTACACGGCATGTTAATTTAACTGTCTTGCCCACAAGTCCGGTTATGTTACTGTTAATGGTTGTGTCAAAGCTAGGTCCACCTGTGCCCGGCGTAGGTAGATCCTGAAGAAAATCTGTAAAGAACCGCTTTGAAGCGCTGTGCGATCTTTCTGCAAAGATACCCGTAGAATAGATAAATAAGAAAGATCTTGTTGGGATGGAGATACATATCATCTCTATCGCTTTGTATTTTTGTAACAGAAAACAAATTTTAAGCTTATACATATATTTTTATCTAAACGTAGTAGTTCCTAGTAGGAACTTTACAGGTAGTAGCTGCTCATTAGCAGTCAATATGTTTCCCAATACGTATACAATGTAAAGAGTGCCAATAGCACGCAACAGTCTGACTCTTTATTGACAAAAAAAAAAAAAACGTTGACTAGCCATTGCGTGCATGCTGCGCACAACGACGTGCTCGCTGAAAAAGTCAGCGTCGCTTACATGTTTACGAAAGTGAAATGTGTATATAGGGCTTGTCCGTCTTGTTCATCCGTCTGTCTGAATGAACGCAATTTTTTTCGGCGCTTTGAAAGCTAGAGACTTTGGAACACATGCTCTTTTATAATGTTAAAATTTTCCCGATCCGCCCACGACTGACATTGCACAAAGCCAATATACTCAATTGACTTAAGAGAATGAGTGCTACGCTGCAGTGTGGGCAATATTATGAGAATTTACTTGTTAAATAATTTCTTTTGTAGACGGACAAAATTAATTAAACTTTTAGAGGGTGATCATATGGTTAAAATGTATGAACCTTCCAAAGTTTCTAGTACTTGAAATACGATTTTTACAAATTGATTGCAAAGGGAAGGTGGTATCCAATATATGTAAATTATAAAATCTTTGTATTCATCAAATTTATATACACAGTAAATCTGAAGTCTTCAGGTCTACAAGTGTTCAAAATAGATTGAAAAAACAAATTAACTTTTCGACTATTATCGATAAAAAAGTTATCGGATGAGTTATCGAAAAATAAGATAAACTTGTACTGCCTATGGTATGCACGAACTCTCTAGCTCTTATATCTTCTGATGTCGACGCACTCATACGGACGGACGGATGGACGAACGGACACGGCTATATCGATTCAGCTCGTCGCCCTGATTAAGAATATATATACTTTATGGGGTCTGCGATGATTTCTTCTGCCCGTTACATACTTTTAACAAACCATTATACCCTGATTTCGCACTTCAATGGGTTCAGCAACTGATATTTCAAAAATTATTCGCACATGCACACATATACGCACACACATAGGCATACGCACGCACACATAAACACGCATTGGCTGCAGTGGTGGCTTACTACGAGAACTTAATTGCTTAATAACTTTTCTTGTGGATGTACTTTTTTCATGAACTTTCAGATTATGATTATAACAGAGTATGCATGCATTTGCCAAAGCACAAATCTCTAGTATTTGAAATACGTCTTTTACAAAAATGTGGGTGTGGGTATAGATATAAGGTGAGGGTAAATTTTAGCAAAAATCGAAATTGTATAAAATGCATATAAGAAGTAATATACATATAAAATTTGGAGACTCTAGCTTTAAAGATGTAGGAGATATAATTTTATCACTGATTTTCGATAAGGTTTTTATCGATAAAAAATAACGGGGTGAGTTATCGATTTTCGAGATAAACTCGATATCCGCACTGTATATACGGACATTTAAAAAAAATGGAAGTCTCTAGCTTTTATATCTTCTGAAATCGATGTGTTCAAGCATACGGACAGACAGACAGACGGACGGACAGACAGACAGACGGACAGGGCCAAATCGACTCAGCTCGTCACCTTGTTCAAGAATATATATACTTTGTGGGGTCTGCCACGCCTCCTTATGCCTGTTACATACATTTCAACAAAACCATTATACCCTGATTTCCCATTGAAAATGGGTTCAGGGTATAAACACATTTAGTACTGTTCAAATTTTCTATTTCGATATATTTACAAATATAAATGTAATATATTTATATTATTCCGAGTGTATGCTCACAAACTAGCCAGCCGACTGTGAGCTCGTGCCAACAAATTTATATGTTGAAGCCCCTTCGATAATAATTAATCGCTTGTGATTTAGATTTGAACGTAATGTATATTTTCTCGAATATGATTATAATTTGACACTTCACTTACAATTTATAGCATCTCGACTCCGCAAAGCACACCTGCCACAGAATGCCCGAGTACTGTCTGGGAGAGTGTTGTGCTAAAGGCACGCTAGGCTCGCTAGAACAATCCAGAAGGATATACAGGCCACTCGTACTATTCGGGTCGTTTACAGCACACCTAGCTTTGTTTCACTCACAATGCACTTCTCTTACGTACGGCTACGTGAACTTACTCGTTCCTGTATTTGCAAGCCTCGCTAGAGCTGCTAGTGTTGTCCTCGTCCGCACAAAAGGTTGCGTTGCTTCCTGTCGTTGATAGGCGTTAAAAGGATCCCCTCTGGGTGTCCTTGCTGTTTCGGTGATGTCCTGGAAGTTCTAGTTCAATACCGATCCTTCGATGTCCTGTTCACTCGCGTTGATTTTTTCGTGCTTTGCAATTTCACATTTTACTCATCTGACTATCATAGATTCTCCTCTACTATCTCTTCGACATTCCTCCCGTATGGAGCTGCCGGTGACCCAGCCACAGACCATGCTTCGCGCCATAACGGGCCTGTTCGGCTCTGGAGCGAGGCCTTTCTGCAGTTCGTGCCCATAAAAACGGTAAAGTGGAGTGATCTGGAATGACGCCACTTTTCCCCAAATCACGTGGCAGCCTCCCATTGGGCGAAGTACCGTTGTTGCCCTGCAAGTGAAAGTATCCACCACTATCACCCGGCTCGAACTGCACCTAGGCTAACGGTCATCGATGATCGTCGTGCGTGCGACCCGAACCAGTTGCTGAATATGTAGGAGCGAAAGAGGCCGGCTATTGTCCGACCATGAATGCCATCAGCTGCATTTTCACTTACCGCTGACAATGTTGTATGCTGCTGGTAAGTGAAGGGAATCTAAAATTTTAAAAATTTCCATAAATTTTAAAAGTTCGTCTCTTTGTCAGTCCGGGCAGTCTTATTCGTGATGCCCCTTGACCTGATGGCCTGCTGAGCAGAGGCGGCGCCCACGCCGGACGCTGCTGCAGCCACATGCCTGCATGCCCCGTAACGTAAACACTTGTGTTTCTCCAATAGCCATTCTATCTTATCGTTCATTATAATTTTCCTCTTCACTCGAGACAAAGACCCTGCAACCGGTGCGCGCCCGCCGCACCCGGTACTTCATTCCTCCGAGCCAGACGATCCGCCGCCCTTGGCCCTCGGCCACTCGGCGCAATTCCCGCCAGTGCACTGCCCCGCGTCGGGCCAAGATGATTGCCGATGCAGAGTCGGTATGGTCGGTATCGCTGGTGGCGCTGGTATGGGTTCCGACGTTTGACGCTGCAACGTCGGCCTGGGGAGTATCGGCCGTTTCGAATGTAGTCGGATACTAGCGACTCGTCTCAACGTTCCGCCTCCAGCCTCTCCGAGGCCGGCGACGGTATTCGTGCCCCTGCAACACCGGGCGAGCCTATGGGTGACCATGGTCTGCCCATATCTTCCGCGTCGCTTGTCGGCGTCAGCCCTGTCGCTCCCGCGCTGAATGGCAGGCGACCACCAGCCGGACGTGGCCAGATAGGGCGCCGCCGCGGGTGAAAGGGTAGCCTCACCGGCGGCAGCCGCACCTGACTCCTACGCGCTCTGAGTATGGACACCGCTGTGCCCACTCGGCCTTCTCATCGCGCCGCTCCAGCATAGTCGCTGGCCAGCAACCAAGGATCAGCCAGGTGCACCTGCCCGAAGCTAAGTTCCGCACGATCTGTAGCTGCACGTTCACCTTCCATGTCTCTTCAAAAAAAATAGGCCGAGTCCATGCTCTCCCACATTATACCCTATGCTGACGCGCCGCCGGCTGCGTAGGCGGTAGCACATAACGGATCCTGTGTGTCCCCTATCCAGCCTGCATTAGTCTTCCCGCCCTTATTGCAGAATTCAAGCAATCGCTGAGCAGCCGACGTAGGCCCTTGACCTTTGCCTACACCTGCTTGCTCTCACTTCTTTGTGTGTGTGTGTGTGCGGCATTTTCCCTGCCTGGAATATACGCTGTTTCGTTTTTGTTAGGTTTTCTCGGGCGCTCGCAATTTTCAGAATTTCAACTGTGCGTATTGTTGTTGCCGAGTGCACATACACTGTATGTAGGTACTGCTTGCACATGCACTGCTTGTTGTTGTATTCTGTGCATTGCGCAGCACTTTCAGCTGAGTTTTAAGTACATTACTGTACATTGTCGTGCGCGCGCAATTAGAACCCTTTCTTGTTGTTCACCCAACTACGGTTAATTTACCGGTGGCAACCAGTGCTGCCAACTTTTCCGGGCAAGAAAATGCTAATTTAACCTTTCAAACCTGCTGCAAAAAGGCAAGTCAAATTCAAGAAAAGCCAGAAACATAGCCATTTCAGTTTTTATACCCTGAACCCATTGAAAATGGGAAATTAGGGTCTATCTGTCCGTCCGTCTGTCCGTATATATGAACGCGTCGATCTCAGGCCCAACGTCTTAATACGGTTGTCTTCCGTATCATCCAATTTCACCATTTGTGTTGTATCTTCCTTAAAGATTCCTGTGAGAAGCTGGTCATAATTAGTACACTATTTTCGAAGCCTTAATCCTGCTGGTAGAAGTATTTTATTGATTTGATCTAGAAGTTTTATGTCTGCTGAGTCTGCTCCCGTTAAACAGTCATCAACATAAAAGTCATTTTCCACTGCCTTTGCTCCGACTGGATATTGATATTGGTTTTACTTCCTTCATGTGGCCGAGTCTTTCGTACTCCTTCATGAATTTTCCAATGCTAAGAAACGCAAACTGGGACTCTCCCAGTTCTGACACATCTTCAGCATATGGTAATTTCACTATAAATTTTCTGTCAACTGCCCTTTGTATACACTCTTGAAAATGTGTTTCACAGTGTGACTTTGCTGGTGTCCGATAGAGCTGTGTTGATTCCAGATTAGTCCAGTCGTAGTTGCTACAGAGCATGTGGCGACTATCGGAGTTGATCT